CTTCCTATCTGACTTCGCTGCACGTTCTGTTTAGTTTGTTTTCCTTATCCTACATGCTCCTTTGCCCTACTTGGAAGCTGTGCAGGTTTTTCATTACGAAAAAGACTTGCATGTAATTCATTGAAGTGTTCATTGTTAGGAATATTCATGGAATATGTTGTGTTTTTTACCACTCCCTGTGTCAGGATTTGGTATCATTTGAGGATGAAGCTGTGTTTTTCTCCGTGGAGGAGTGGGCCCTGCTGGATTCTGAGCAAAAAAACCTGTACTGAGAGGTCATGCTGAAAAACAAGAAGAACAAGGTCTCCTTAAGTAAGGGATTCTGTTATGATAATGTAGTGCACAATATTTTTTTTAATTAATGCACATGAAGTCCTCCAGCATTATTATTTGGTTTTTGTTGCTGTATTCTTCTCTAAACTGCTTGTTGAGGTAATTCCCCATTAGGAGAATGAGCGCACACAGGGAGACGTAGTGAGAGTAGTGAAGAATAACACACAGCACACAGCCACACTGTATAGTAAAATGTAGGTTTTTACTTCCAGTAAAACGGTTAAGCAAAATTTAACAAAACAGTCCAAGTCATTCACGGTTAAAGCAGTCAGTTTTCAGTCCAGGTATAATCCAATAACAAAGTCCAGTATCAAAAACAGTTCAATAAAAGACTCACATCAAACCAAGACCAACGATAATCAGCAAGTCAATGCAGGAACGGCAACACTCCAGAAAAGAACATCCCAGGTTTCTAGCTCCATCTTATGGCTGTTTGAGGAACCACACCCAATTACCATTTTAGCATTCCCTTAAAGAGACAGTATTAAAATGTCTATCCTGGTTTATATATTTTCCAACCCAACTGTTAGGTGACTTAGATTCCTAACATTCTCCCCTTTGGATAGGACAATATATACAACCTTACATTCTAAGTCCATAATCCTCACAGAAGCCTTATGCTTTACAGATTTAACATCTGCGATGTTATTTTCTGACATACAGTATTCCAGCTTAATCATCTTACTTTGCACACATTGTCTCACATTTAAATATCTTAAATCTGTGTGTTTCGTTCTTGTCTTTACAGCAAGATTTGAAGCCATTTGTATTGCTGATTGGTTGTCTTCATAAACAACAATAGAATCTGTTACATCAATTCCCATGTCAATAGTTGCTTATAATAAACTAAATCTGTACATAATGAAGACAAACATGAGAATTCAGCCTCCATTGTTGACAAACTTAAATGTTTCTGTCGAATAGACCTCCATCCAATCAACACCTTTCCGAATAATACTACAGTACCCAATGTAGATTTACGTGTATTTATGTCTGTAGCAAAACTTGCATCGGCATATGCAGTTAGACTTAGTTCATCCTTAGGCTCCAAATACAATGCGTAATGCATTGTTTGTTTCAGATATCTTAACACACGCTTAGCAGCTTGCCAGTGCCTTTCAGTTGGCTCAGCGTTAAACCTCGCTAATTGGTTAACTGTATTCTATTCTATATCTGGCCTTGACCAATTACTGAGATAAGATAAACTACCAATCAAGAACTGATAAATGTCTTTATCAAAAATAGGACTTTGAACATCACTATGGCTAAACTCCTGGATCATTGGTGTCTTAGCCGGCTTACAAAGGTCCATTTTAAAATTCTTTAGTAATTGGTTAATTTTATCTGCCTCTGAGATTTTGTATCCTCCCCTAGTTCTATCTATCTTTAAACCAAGATATTGTTTAATTTCACCTAACTGTTTTATTTTAAATTTCTTGTCTAATAGTGAAATTATATCAGTAGCTTCTTGTTCAGTTTTGGTGATTAATGCTATGTCATCAGTGAACAATAGCAACAATGAAACTACACCATCACTTTCCTTTTTAAACAAACATGGATCAGCCATGCCAGCTACAAAACCTGTCTTAGTTAATTCCTTAACTATACACTGGTTCCACTCATATCCTGATTGCTTCAAGCCATAAAGACTCTTTTTCAATCTCCAGAAATCAGTTGTATTATCGTTCTTTATACCTAAAGGTTTCTTTAAATGAATAGTCTGTTGCTCTAAGGATGATTAGCAACAGTCAATGCAGGAACGGCAACACTCTCCAGAAAAGGACAGAACAACCCAGGTTTCTAGCTCCATCTTATGGCTGTTTGAGGAACCACACCCAATTGCAATTTTAGCATTCCCTTAAAGAGACAGTATTAAAATGTCTGTCCTGGTTTATATATTTTTCCAGCCCAACTGTTAGGTGACTTACATTCCTAACACTGCTGATTTTCAAATTTGCAAGATTATTTATCTGAGGTTTTCATGCTTTTGTATGAAGCCTGGCTTTTCTTCACAAATGGACAGTATGGAGAGTATTGGCCTTCACAATTCACTCTCTCTCATTTGTTAGGAATCAGATGCAATCCTGCGCATGCTGTGCATGAAGGGAAAAAAGAACAAAGACTTATTTATTAGAAAATTTATATTGCTGCCTATTCGCACATGGCTACTCAGACATGATATTCTTCCAATTAAAATCGGAATTCCGATTTTTTTGGGAATCGCCCCCCTTTCCCCCCCTTCTTCTCCTCCTTCCCCTCCCCTCGGAGGCCCCAAGTCAGGAGTTGCTACCGCTGGCACAGCTCTGCGTGGCTCCAGTCCTGTGTTGCCTCGGGAAGGGAAAGGCAAAAAGGAAGAGCCGCGGCGGCGCTTTGCAACGGCAGCAGCGGCTCCTGGTTTTGCCTTTCCCTTCCCGAGGCAACGCGGGACTGGAGCCGCGCGGAGCCGTGCCGGCGGTAGCAACTCCTGACAGCCCCAGCCGGATACCTGAGCAGAGCCCGGGCAGGGCGGTGCGAGCGGAGCCCGGGCGGGGTGAGCGGAGCCCGGGCGGGACGAGCGGAGCCCGGGCGGGGCGAGCGGAGCCCGCTGAGCGACAGGAAAAGGGAGCTGGGCAGCGATTTCTTGGCGCGCGGTGGGGGGGTCTCTTTTGGCCGGCCCCGATTTTTTTTTCAGAGGGGAATATCATGCCTGCTACTCAAAGCGTCTTACAGGGGTATAAAACATATTAAAAAATTAAAATGAATAAAAGAAAATAATAAAATAGCCCCACTCCCCTCACCCCGGTGACCGCAGAAGGAAAAAAGAAAAGTCCAGTTGCCTTTAGAAAGAGCATCTTTGGGATAAAGATCAATGAACAGAGTGAGAATCAGTTTTGGGTTTTTTTGAAAATTTTATTTGGGTTTTCACAAAAAAAAAAAAAAAAACATAATACAAATAAAACATCTTTTTAAAAAAATAGCATGGTCCTGGGTTATCGCTTCTTCATACAGACACAAACTCAATTTCATGCTCATTTTTGTGTTCTATTCCATATCTTATTACTGTTTTACATTTTCTACATAGTTTTTCCCCTCTTTGAATTTTCTCAACTTTATTTTGATTATCTCATCTCAATTCAAATCACTATATTTATACTTTTGTCTGTCCTGTTTCAATTTCATATTATCTTTTCTCAAACAAATTTTTCCCTGTAGTTATTAATTGGAGTATGACACCTTTATATCTTTTAATTTTATCCATTCAACTCTTATTTAAGCTTCAATGTATACCTTTAAGATTATAACATTCAATATAATACATAATTTCCAATCAAATTCTACTTGGTACATTCTTAAAATACACACTATATTCTTAAAAGAAGGTTATATATATATGTAAATAAAGCACTCATTCCATTCCAATTCAATTCTATCATTAATATTCATTAAAATCTTAACATCTTTAACATTTCTTTTCAATTAAATATCATACTTCCTTGGGAACACTTATAAACTTTCCATAATTAATTCCCCCCCCCCATATTTCTCTTCACTTATATTTTATAAATCATTAATAATTAAAATGTTCCCATCCTTTCCTAATTTAATTCTCCCATTCATTTTATTTCATTTATTAACATTCCACTAGATTACAAATATTTTATCCATCATTTTAATCATATTTTCTAAAATTAATTATATTTGTAATATAACAATACTATCTTGTGTACCTTTGCAGAATCCCTTTTACAATGAAGTTTTCACCCATTATCTCTAAACAGGCTTATACTTTCAATTCTTATACCTTTTCCCTGTTTCTCTATATCTTGTTTCTGTCCTTTATAACTTCTTTTCCTTTCCTTCTTTCCCCTCTCCTTCTTCCTCCCCTTTTTACCCCCTTGTCTCTCTACTTCTAATTCTCTCTTCTGTAATCCCCTCTTCTGTTGCTTTCTAATATTATACTTATGTTTCAAACTATTCCTTTTTTTGGTTGTTTTTTTCAAATCTTAAACTTTTCAGTCTCTTTCCCCCCTTTCCTTTTTTTCCCCCACATAAAATTACTTGATCATTAAAGATGGCTTCTTCTTTGTCCCAATCTTCTTGTTCTGCAAGTTTTTTTCAAAGGAAAACCTCTTCAACGAGATGAGGCAAGCTGGGAGGCCAATAAATTGAAGGAAGGAACTAACAAAAGAATGAATGAATGAATGAGCGAATATAGGACCATTTTAAGTATCCCTTGGAACTAAATCTGAAGCGGAAGAGGTGATGGTTGACCCACCCCTACCCCAAAGTTTAAATGATCTTATCCAAAATGTTCAGGTTTTCATTCTGTATCATGGAGGACAAGCATACCACCATGCTTTGAACCAATGGGAGTTTGCAGGAAGTTTGATACTGTTCAAATCTCAGCAATGGTGTTTGATCCTTTTCACATTAAAGTTTGTTAACTTTTCTTTTCTTGTTTTCTGTTGCAAGCAGGTGACGGAAGGGAGATGGAGGTTTCTGGCCAAGAGGCAGCAGCACCTTTGCCAAAAGAGAAAAAGGAAGTTGCAGAAAAGATGTATGGAAAGCAAAGTTCTGAGGAAAACCAGTTAATGGGGGAGCTGGATAATTGCTCTAGTTTACCATGTGCAAATACCAGTCTCTTATTGGACACAGATGATTGCCATGAAAAGGAAATGTGTTCAACCTATGAGAAAATACTCTGTGGTGAATCTGGATTATGTCACTGGGGCGAAAGCCCTGCTGGAGAGAAACAAGATGAAAGCAAGCAACAGTGCAGAACGAACTTTCCTCCTCCCTTACATGAAAGAATAAAAGGAAAAACGTACAAATGTACAGAGTGTGCAGAAAGCTTCGGTACAAGCCGCTCTCTTGCTTCACATAAAAAGATTCACAAAGCAGAGGAGCCACACAAATGTCTGGATTGTGGAAGGACCTTCAGGCAGAAAAATCATCTTAATTCACATAAGAGGGTCCATGAAGACAAGAAGCAGCATCAATGCATCCCCTGTGGAAAGACCTTTGGAAGCAGCGCCTCCCTTATTTCCCATCAAAGCCTCCACAGAGAGAGGTTGTTTCAACTCAGGAAGGGCAGAACGAGGATTACTCGCATCAAGAAACCGAATTCCCAGAAAAAAAGCCCCACTGGGAAGAAATCATGTAAATGCCTGGAATGTGGGAAGAGCTTCCGCTTTGCAAGTGACCTCACTTGCCATAATAGGATCCATACAGGGGAAAAGCCGTATCATTGCATGGTGTGTGGAAAGAGCTTCACCCAAAAAGGCCATTTCAATGTACATAAGATGATCCACACTGGAGAGAAGCCCTTTCAATGCCTGCAGTGTGGAAAGTGCTTTGTCAGTTCTGGTGGCCTTAATGCCCACAAACTGACCCACACAGGGGAGAAACCATACAAATGTCTGGAGTGTGGAAAGAGCTTCCGTAACTCCAGCTATCTAACTTCCCATAGAAGAATCCATAGTGGAGAGAAACCGTATCAATGCACTGAGTGTGGGAAATGCTTCACTAAGCCATATTGTCTTACTGTCCATAAAAGGACCCACACAGGTGAAAAGCCTTATAAGTGCACTGAATGTGACAAATGCTTCACTGATTCGGGGAATCTCTCTCGTCACAAAAGGCTCCACACTGGAGAGAAACCATACGAATGCCGCACGTGTGGAAAGAGCTTCAGTGAAAAAAAGAAGTATATTGTGCATAGCAGGACCCACACTGGGGAGAAACCATATCAGTGCCAGGAGTGTGGAAAACGCTTCAGTGATTCTGGAGCACTGATGATCCATAAAAGGATTCACACAGGGGAGAAACCCTATAAGTGCACAGAGTGTGGCATGAGTTTCAGGAAAAGTGGTTGCCTTGGTATCCACAAGAGGATCCACACTGGAGAGAAACCGTATAAATGTCATGAGTGTGGAAAAAGCTTTAGTCAAAGTAGTTCACTCAGGAGCCATAGAAGAATTCACTCAGGGGAAAAACCCTATAAATGCCTGGAGTGTGGAAAATGTTTTCATATGAGTGGCCAGCTTACCTCCCACAATAGGATCCATACAGGGGAGAAACCATTTAAATGTATCGACTGTGGAAAGAGTTTCAAAGACTGCATGAATCTTACGTACCATAAAAGAATCCACACAGGGGAGAAACCGTTTAAATGTATCGAGTGTGGAAAGAGTTTCAAACACCGTATGAGTTTTACAGTCCATAAAAGAATCCACACAGGGGAGAAGCCGTATAAATGCACAGAGTGTGGAAAATGCTTCAGTGCCTCAAGTAATCTTAATTCCCATAAGAGGATTCACACAGGGGAGAAACCCTATGAATGCTTGGAGTGTGGAAAAAGTTTCAATAGACATGATACACTAATTTTACATAATAAGATGCATAAAGGGGAGAAACCATATAAATGCCTGCAATGTGGAAAAAGCTTCAGTCAAAAAGTTCATCTTAAGTCGCACGAAAGGATCCACACGGGGGAAAAGCCATTTCAATGCAAGCAGTGTGGAAAAAGCTTCCATTGCTCTTCAACCCTTACTTCCCATCTCAGAATCCACACGGGGGAAAAGCCCTTTCAATGCTTGGAGTGTGGAAAGCGCTTTTCCCATTCTGGTGACCTTCATGCCCACGAACGGACCCACACAGGGGAGAAACCATACAAATGCCTGGAGTGTGGAAAGAGCTTCCGTAAATCCAGCCACCTAACTTCCCACAGAAGAATCCACAGTGGAGAGAAACCACATCAATGCACCAAGTGTGGGAAGCACTTCAGTCAAGCAAGTAATCTTACTCTCCATAAAAGGACCCACACGGGTGAAAAGCCTTATAAATGCACTGAATGTGACAAATGCTTCACTAATTCGGGGAATCTCTCTCGCCACAAAAGGCTCCACAAAGTGGAGAAACCATACAAATGCCTGGAGTGTGGAAAGAGCTTCCGTAAATCCAGCCACCTAACTTCCCATAGAAGAATCCACAGTGGAGAGAAACCGTATCAGTGCACCGAGTGTGGGAAGAGCTTCAGTCAAACAAGTCACCTTAATATCCATAAAAGGATCCACACAGATGAATAGCCTTATAAGTGCTCCGAATGTGACAAACACTTCACCAAATCAGGGCCCCTCACTTGCCACAAATGGCTCCACATTGGGGAGAAACCATATGAATGCCGCATGTGTGGAAAGAGCATCAATGGGGAAAAAAAGTATATTGTACATAGCAGGACTCACACTGGGGAGAAACCTTATCATGCCAGCAGTGTGGAAAATGCTTCAGGGATTCTTGACAACTGACGATCCGTAAAAGGATTCACACAGGGGAGAAACCCTGTAAGTGTACGGAATGTGGCATGAGTTTCAGAAAAAGGAGTAACCTTGGTATCCACAAGAGGATCCACACTGGGGAGAAACCGTATACATGTCATGAGTGTGGAAATAGCTTTAGTCAAAAATAATCAAGAACCATAGAAGGCTTCACTAAGGGAGGAAAACTTAAAAATTCCTGGAGTGGGGAGAATGTTATAATGATAGTGGTAGTTTTACCTCCCACATGATGCTCCACACAGGAGAGAAACCGTTTAAATGCATCAACTGTGGAAAGAGTTTCCGACCCAGCGGTAATCTTACGCTCTATAAAAGAATCCACACGGGGAGAAGCTGTATCAGTGTGTGCAGTGTAGAAGGAAATTCGGAAGCTGTAGTGACTTTAATCGAAATTAGAAGATGCATATCAGGAATAGAGATTAATTGGTTTGTGTTGATTCTCAATATTTGCTTCTTGCCCAGGACAATCTGTAGAAATGCGTGGTGAATGAGAAAGGGCTTCCAAAGCAGTAGAAGGTTTTTGATCCATTAAAAATAAGAGTTTCCTTGTATAATCAGGAATTAACTTTTGGATACAGTGTTTCCCACAAAATAAGAATTTTTGGGGCGCTCAAAAATAAGCCCTCAGGCTTATTTTGGGGGAAACTGAAGTGAGTTATTACAGTGAGTAATTGTAAAGCAGCAATTAATTGTCACTCTTAACAATCGTGAATGTGAAGAATGTGTTTTTTCAGTCTGACAATTGCCAATTCATTGAAACCCACCTTGGAAAACATAGGGAAGGAATGTCTTAACATCAAAATAGGTTAGCGCCTAGACTAGGAATCACCAAACCTGGCAATTTTAAGGTTTGTGGACTTCAACCCTCAGAATTCCTCTGGCACACATGCCGGCTGGGGAATTCTGGGAGTTGAAGCCTACAAGTCTGAAAGTTGTCAATTTTGGAGACCCCTGGCCTCGACTTATGGAATTATGACGTGGTTTTTTTTAGTGCCTTCCTCTTGTAAAGTTTTTTTTATATCCAACACACTGGAAATGGGGAAGAATTATGGTGAATAGTTCCTTGCTTTTCACAAAAAGAATTACAAGCATTGTGAAATACCAGAATCTTCACAATAAAATCTCAAAAGGGGAAAGATGGCAAAGAGGTTTCCCAGGGAACAAGGCCGGATGCACAGTATGCCCTCTGGCAATTGGC